GTAGCGGCTGCTCCCCCCATCTCCCTCGGTGCCGCCGGGGCCGAGCGGCCGGCAGTACCCCCGCCGGGGCTGGCCGGCAGCCACGCCAGCGAGTGGCGCGGGGCGCGGCGACGGCGGRCAGGCGATCTGACACTTGCCTGTAGCAACGAGCCGCAAAGTTTGTGGGATTTTTAATTGTGACTAATAAATGCCGTGACTGATAATTCTGAGTGACAGTCACTTATGATCCAGGCCTTCGTACAGAGAGCCCTGCTAACGCTGGGTCCGCCGCTCTGTGATTAGGTGGGCTCCGAAATAACAAACCCCACGTTCCGCTCGGCCACTGCTRTCCACTTTTTCTCGCACCCACGCGAGTCCTTCTACCTAAACACACCCCCAGCACCGATTTACTGTCAGCCGTGATGAGGACAAGAAAGGACAAGACGAGCCCTAGCCACGATACCAGCATTTCGCGCCCCGCTCCCCTTGACACTCTACCCCACGCAGGAATCACTTAAAAGTGTTTTASCCTGGGCCGAGCGGCCGTGCTACACCAGACAGGCGGCGAGCGGCCGGTGCCTGCTGCAGACAGCCCGGGGGTCCTGCACCTTGCTCCAAATGCCGGGGCGGGCAGAAGAAAAGTTTCAGGGCCCACGCGTGCCTCCTCGGCATAGCTGCTGCCAGCAGCCAGGCCTGCCCCGCCGTCCCCTCCCACGCGGGCTCSCCGGGCTGCCTTCGCGAGGGGCCGCGGCACCTCGGGAGCTGCCAGCAGGCTGCAGCCGGCCGGCACTGCCAGCACAACACACGGCTTTGTTTTCCGCCCGTCTGCTAAACTCGTTGTGTCTAACGGAGCCGGCGGAGCGGGGCGGCGGGAGGGGAGAAGGGGCGGGAAGGGGCAGCCGCCGCCAGCAAACAACTTCCCCGACGGTTTGTTTACATAGCAGGTGGAGCTGCCGTCCGCCGCGACCCACAGCGCCCGCTCCGCCGGGGACCAGCCGGGGAAGCGCGGGCGGAACGGKGCACGGCCCGGCCCGGCGCATCCCGCCGCACTTTTTTTTTGTTGCCATTCCCCCTCCGCTG